TGGATATCACTAAAGGTTCGAGGTTTGATCCCCAAAGCTATGCAACTTGGCAACTGCGGCCAGCGAATGCTACGCTGGGTGTAGGTAGAGGGATTGCCTTACAGACTCATCCGAAGCTTGGGGATCCTCTCCAATGTCAACAGGTTCCACAGCCTTTTTGGGAGTGCATGTTGATCAGGTACTGGTACCAGCCGGGGGCTTACGTTTCTCCCGTTTAGGCTCTTTCCCTCCATCTTTGAACTGAGAAGACATATGCTCTAAGCAGTGAGATGTTACCGTTTCACGCTCCAGGATCTTTGAGTCTTAAGAGGGTTACGAGTCCCGGACATGCCTGGTGCACTCGGACCGTTTCGGAACTCCGGGATACCTAAGGTACTCCGACTTTGCTCGATTTCCAGGCAGGCGGTCATGCAAGCAGTGAGTAGAGGAGCGCAGGAATTTTGCACCTCGTCGGATGACTTGGCACCTGTCCCGTAGGCACGGGTCTGTTGGAAACCCGATGTGAGACGGCTTGTTTGGTTCTGAGGTGGAGTTGTTGTCACGGGCGGGCCATGGTGAGTTGTTCAAGATGGGAAGGTACCGGGTGCCGTCCTGAAAGGAGGGGTTCGCTCCCACTGTAATGGTCAGTATAGCTTGAATTTGGGACAAGCATGAAAATGGGTGATAGATATATTGAGATTACACAAGTCTTCACGAGGCCACGAGTATGTGCCAAGACAAAGTCGAAGAGTGTAATGCCGGCGAATGTACAACCGGCCAGGAATCAACTACTTCGCGAACCTGCCGGATCTCCTGTGCATGTCTCGGTCTCTCGACGTGCACGATGCCAGTGCAAAGATGCGGCGCTACAACGCCCGGACCTCGTGATTCCAAGGATGAGGGACGATATTTTTTCTCTTGCAGGGAGTCTGGGAAGAGAGCCTACTATTTCCTTTGTCTTGCTCGAAATCTTCTGTCTGGGTGTTGGGTTCTCGTCTAGTACTCTGACGCGAGGGGACTTGGACGTGGGTGATCGGTGGAATGACAGGAGGGGAGTTTGACACGGAGGATGAGGGGGTTGAGATGGGCGGAAGGAGGAAGGGGCGGGAGCACGTGCGAGGGCGGTGTGAGAGGAGGCGTGGACAGGGCATGGAGCGCGATGTCGGGTGCACGGGCGGTGAGTGCATGGAGTCGGGTGCGGACAGGGGCCGTGTGCAGGAAAGGTGTGGACAACCGACGGGTGCGAGCGCGCGTGCATGGTGGGGAGCACATGTCGGGTGTGCGGGCAGTGTGCAGGGGGGGTTGGGGGCGTGGACAACACCGGGAGGGCGATGCCGGGCCGCGGGCGGAGAGGAGGGTCGGACGGGTGCACGAACGTTGCGTGGGGGAGGACAGGGGGCGGAGCGCGATGATAAGAAGCAGTGCTACTCCTTGGATTGATTTCAAAACAGTGCAACGGTCTACTTTCGAATTGTTGAGGCCCCCACGGTATGCAGCGCAAGATTGCTGATTGTTTCGCAGGCTCGTGCAGGCAGAGACAACAGTGAAGCGAATTGGAGAACCTCTTGAACCAACGCTTCCTTCGGCCTGTCCCGCCCTAGAGTTGGGGGGCGGCCGCTTCAGGAACGTGTAAGGCCGGGATGGATTTTGTAGTGCCAGCTGTAGATGCTTCGACTCGAAGCACGGGCCCTTCGCCCAGAGTCTGCACTGGCCGTTCTCTATATCATCCTATAATCCTTTCTCGAGGAAGAGAGCCTCGTCCACTCGGTGAGCTTCTGGACTTACTCGCTTTCGAAGCTGCTCGCAAAATAGTCGTTTGCCTCGAGCATAAATGCAATTCAGATTTGCTGTCAGTTTGAGGATTTGAGCTTCTGAGTCTTGAATTTCATCGTTTGGCGCTTTGGTGGGTTGAAGGTTTTGTGACATTCACGATGCTGTCCGGTTGATGATGCGCTGAATTTGGCACCCTTGCTGCGAGCCGGGCAAGTGAAAGCCGTGCCGTTACACTTTCCGCAGCCCGTCAGCATGTCTTGGTTCTATTTCATGCCAGGGCTTGCATTACATGCTTCGTGATGATGATTGAAGCCGGAAGCCGTTGCAATGAAAACGAGGCAGGTTGCACACAGAGCTCCAACTTCAGCAATGGCAAACGAATATGGCGATTCTCGGGATACATCAAGACAAGACGCTTTTACTTGGAGGCTTGATGTGCAGGCAAGCGTGACTATTTAGCTGCTATTCCTACTTATTTCTGTGTTGTTCTCAACTTGTGCCGAGCATCGTGAAAGGAGATGCCAACACTTGACCAGGCCTCAGGGGTCAACGCATGCCGTACGATTTGGCAGTCAATAAGTGTTTTACACACGCAGCTACCCCCACGACAAGCATGGCTTCATCTTCGGCGCTCCCCGCAATAGCTGAGGGGCACGTGAAGGCGCTGCCCTCCTTTGCCCCCCGTCCAACTTAAGTCCTCAAGTCTTATCCTCCGAGCAAATTTGCAGCAACATTTGGATCGACAGTTCTCCGAGCCAGGTGAAGAGCTTGATCTATGCTGCGTTTGTTGTAGTGGTTGGCCATGCCCAGGGTCCTTTGTCGCTTGAGAAGTATCAGGTTTCGCAGAATCGCAGAACTTGGATTTCGATTTCTGATGTTTGTTAGAATTTCTGCCTGTGTCCAGGAAGGTTCAGGATTCGGTCTTTCGGTTTGGGGCTTGGTATGAGGCACATGCAGTACCTTGTTCGGAACCCTGTCGCATCGAGTCGACGCAGACCAAAGAGTTTACATGACGATGAACTTGAGACTTGAGATACCCACTTACTGAGTTTCCCAAATCCAATCCCAGGGCGCAAGGCTAAATGCCCTGCTTCGCCTTTGCAGGATTCGACAGGGGCGAAGCGTTTCATGTCAGAGCTCATGAACACACTGGCAGGAGCCTTGTTCGGTCTGGCTTCGACTGCGGAAGGTACGTAGTCTGATGGACGGATTGATTCCAATAGGCTTCTGCAGTTGTCAGGACGAGAACTTCTCTTCGATTTCAGTGTGCCGTGACCTTTAGAATCGCTCGAGGGTATAGGTTGAGTGTGCGTGGGTGGCTCAGATTGAGGATTCGAAGCAATCTCAAGCCCTGGTTGCGTCCTCCCCTAGGTCCGGGCCCACATCGAGGACGGCCGCATCATAAGCGGCCAGCTTTGGTGCTTCGACCAGCTGAGGCCTTGGGCTGCAAGACAACAAGTAGGAGTTTTGCACGTTCAGAGTTCAAGGTTTTGGCCCTGAGCCAGGGAAATTCTCAGGGAGCTGCTGGGAGAATTTCGGGTTTCAGGCTGCGAGAGCTTTTCGAACGCAGCTTTTCAGGATCGGAGGGCTCATAGAAGCTTGGAGTGCATCCATACTTCATCTATGCAGAAGCGCAGAGTCGACTGTCACTTTTGTAATCCATCCCTTATTGAAAGAGCATTCGCTCGGGGTCGGATCTTGAAGGAAATGCTGTAGAGTGCTCACATCTCGATCTTAGACAAGGTATATATGATCCCGGTGCGGCCCTCCCCCCCCCCTCCCACCCCCAATGGTTGGTAACCGTTAAAACTGGCTTTTTTGTTTACTTTGTGTGGTGTGATTCTCCCTCCTCCCCCCCCCCCCCCCCCCCCCCTGTGGTGCTGTGGTGTGGTTCTGTGGTTCTCTCCCCCGCCTTGGTGCGGTGTGGTCGTGCCCGCGGCCCGGCCCCTACAGCAGCAGCAACATCAGCGGCGTCATCATCACCATCGTAATCATCATCGTCATGTTCTGTGAACTTGGTAGCCCGGTCCTGCCCCTAACGAACCCCAAGGACCCTAAAGACCCTGAAAAGCAAGTGCCAAGCCCCCGACCTGGAATGTCTGAAGAACGGCTCCGCCGTCTGAAATCTGAACCTGAATCGGAAACCCCGTCTCCTAGACTGTAGCCCCTTCCGCGGAACCCTGTTCCTTTTGACAGCTCAAGCGAACCTCTGCCCTCCCTCCTCTGTCGTTGTTGAGCCGGATGTCGGCCAGAATCTTCGACTGATGCACCTGTGGTTTTGCTGTTGGTTTAACACTCACTAAAAAGGTATTTTGAAATCTTTCTTCGAAGATTCGAGACTATGCGGATTTGTCCGACGAAAGCCACTGAAGCGACTGTCTCTTCCCTGCTCTGTCAGCTAAATTGCGTTGTTCGTCATACAGAGCATATACCCCAGAACCAAGGACCCTACGGAGTTCAGAACTATCCATAACCTTGGTAAGACAGTCCGCCAGCATGGCCTTGGAGTGGACCCACCGCATTTTGCAGTTTTCTTGCAACCGTTCACGAAGAAGCAGACACTCGAGTTGAGTACGTAGCTCGACACAGTTCGGAACAGCCGTCTTAGTAGCTACGTCGTAAGCACTCTTGCAGTCGGTCACAAGCGAGGCTTTGGGAGCTTCTTTCAAAACTTCTTCAGGGTGGGAAATATCAATTCCCGGGTTCTTAATCCATTCCCAAAACAGCCTCAACCATGACATTCCGTCAAGCGAGCCGCACAGCGCGACCACTTCAGCACTCAAAGTGCTGCGCACAACTCGGGAGATCTTCTTGCTTGCCCACGCTACTGGAACAATCACGGCCCTCTGATTCTGAAGCATACGCCAATCCGTGGCGATGACCAATGTGCCCTGATACGAATGGTTATCCTTGGACGAAGCAAAAGAAGCATCGGAAAATGTGCAGAAGGTAAGGTGTTTCTCAGGAATCGGTACCACCATCAGGGACACAGCGTGTGACTTTGCCTCGTGAAGCACCTTATTGGCCTCCAACAAATGCTTCACCCTACCCTTAGTGACCATGGATTGGAGGAACCCCACTTTAGCCGCTATATCCGGTCTGGTGTGTACCGCTGCATATTGCAGGCTTCCATTAAGGCGACGCAAATCATGGACTTCTGAAGCAGTGAGAGGATCCTCAGGTCGAAGCCTACGGTCCCTAGGAACATGAATAGGCATGATCTTTTCGAGATAAGCTGTTTGATCCATCTAAATACTTCCGTCGTCCCACTGTCGAAAACGAATCCCTGTGAACACGAACTCTCCTTCGTCGTAGGACCCAAAGCTATAAATGCCCCGCAACTGCTCAATGACCCTGCTGAAGTATGCATCACCCCCGCCTATACCATCATCAACGTGGATCCCTAGAACACCGTGTACCCTAGGCTCCCCACCAGGTCCTTTAGTGACAAGACTGAACGTGCAAGGATCAAAAGGGCTTTGGATGAATCCCAGCTCTTCCAACGTTTGCTTGAGAGTCTGGAACCACAAGAAAGGAGCATCAATCCTTCCGCACGCTCCGCCTTCAAGGCGGCACTGGTCAGTGGGACCCATACCTAAAGCCTCTCGGAGTTCTTCGGGAGGTTTGATGCCCAACTTCCTGCCGTCCCCTTTTCCCTGCAAGAAAGCTGTGGAGATATCGAAATTGATGAGCTTCCACTGTCGAGAAGCCACTTGTTGCAAGATCAACTGGCGACCATCTTTCCCTAACGTTGGTGCGTCATTGGGTATATCAGACAACCCTGGGTCCTCGAAACCTAAAACCACCAACCTAGCCTTGGCCCTATGCGGTCCACCCTCCTTCTCAGGAGCCTTCCAGGTGAGGATCCACCTACATCTCATCAGCTGAGAGTCCTCAAGCGTTCCAGCTGCAACCCGACGCACCGTCCGATGATCGAGCCAGGCTTTGATTTCTTTGTTCTGGGCTTTTTTGAACAGTTGGCGCTCATGTTGATTGAGATCCCTAAGCCTAACCTCTGTGCGCTTCTTCCTTTCGGTGCTGGCTAACATCACGAAGTTTAGGGCCTGCTCGGGTGACGGGAGATCCTTGTAGTCTACGTCTGTTTCGTGAAGCCCAATCTCCCACACTTGCTCCGAACTTGGATGGATCAAGAAACATTCAGAGTCCCCGAAGAGAAGGTCATCTTCGTCCTCTGGTACAGGAACCTCTACAGGATCTACCTCCATCGGCTCTTCATGTTCTTGCTCCATCGAGACGGCAGGTGAGACTTCGGTTTCAGGCTGCTCAGCCCCTAACGCCGAAGGCGGGCTCTCACCACTGTCTACAGGAATCTCAAAACCTCCACCGGTGTCCATTTCACCTACCCCTCCTTCTACTTCACCTACAGCAGGTGGCGAGGCCCCGGCTACCGGCGGTGGCTCCGAAGCGGGCGCAACACCCTCCATCTCTACATCTTCTCTAGTGGGCAAATCGCCCTCACGAAGCAGATCTACTACACCCCTACTAGGTAGCCTATCGGGGGACTTGTGGAGGGAACCCTGACTGTGTTGTTGCAAGACTTCCCGCTCGCGAAGCGACGCCGACCTTAAGTGCTCGGGCGATGCTCTAACCAACTGGCCACAATGCGATAGCCATACGACCCGCTCATCACCTACGATTACCTGTGCGGGACCATGCCAGCGGCCACGTTCGCCCCGAGAGCGACTGCCTACTCGCTGCTGTCGCCAGTAGAGAACCCAACTGCCAGCAGCGAAAGTCGGAAGGTTGGCCCGTGTTTTTCGCAACAGAGCCCGGCGATACGCATTATCGTTGTCTACCCGTACAAAAGCAACCCTAGCCTGTTCCCGACGCTGAAGGCTCTGTCGAAAAGCAAGACCCTCGGGAAGTGAGCTGGTGGCCAGCGCATGGCTAGCCGTCAACTCATCTGAGACAAGGCTGGCAGGAAGTCTGGACGACTTGCCAAAAACTGCTTGCTCCGGTGTGAAACCCCGCACTCGACTAAGAGAATTCTTTGCATGGACTGCGGCTCTAAGACACTGCCTAAACTCTGCATCATCTGTGATTGGGGTCTCGGCATCCATACGGGACAACATCGCCTTCAGAATTTTCCCGTGAGCCTCCACTCTACCAACCTGCCAATGGCTCTCACCAGCAGCTACTTTGGCGCAAACACCGTCACGCTGCAACCTCTCTCGCCACCACTCTCCTACATACTCACCTGCAGGATCTACGTAGAGGAGTTGACATGGTCCAGCCCATTTGTTCCAGCTGTCGGTGAGAACTTCGTAGTGGTCTTCCATGGTCCTACCGGTGGCCGAAGCTTGATGAAACAACGTTGCCTCATCGAGGATGTGTGTGAACATGTATTTATGTCCACTCTGTCCACTCCAATATGCTACATCCATGCCCAGTACATCCCCGAAATCGGCATCAAGGTGAATCGCTGCAGGCCTCGCAGGCTTGGGACCAGACACCGACTCTAGACACGTACTACAGGACAAATCCTTGGCTCCCTGAATAATGCGAGGATCCGCCTTCCGCTCTGTCAAAAACTTAACCATAGTGCCTGTGTCTGGGTGTCCCAGGTTTTGGTGGAGCCTCCCTAATTCCCTCTTCTCCTGCTCACTTAGTCTTAAGTACCCCGGCCCATGCCTAGGTATCATGACTGGAGGATGCCCTTGTAGAAGTTCCGAAGGAATGGGAGGAGAACTTACACCCCTTGAAGACACTGGTGGACTGGCGCTGTGACACGGACGACCCTCGGCTGCGGCTCCCGGCTCAAAAGACTCCACGTTCTGTTCACTGGGGTTTATCTCGGACGCTACATGGGGGCGCATCTCGGATGCTAGTTGGGGCCGCTCGGGTGGTAACTGGGATTGCTGACCGAGAAATTCTGAGCCGTAAGCCGTCAAACTGACTCTCGCAGGTATTCCCCGACGCCAACGTTTGTACTTAGGATTCTTTGTCCACTGCTCACAACCACCATCTGCCATCACCTTACCATTGTCCCTAGAAACCACTATGGTTTGGCGAAGGGGAATATCCTGTATCTCGAGACCAGGTTTTGGCAGCTGAACACGGTTGGTGCCACGAGCCATCACCACGTGCTTGATTTGAAATTGCGGGATCAGTGTTTGAACCTGTTTTACAACCTCATCCCCATCCCTGAAGTATACCCTGCCACGGTGAGGAACATCGAACTTCTTAAAGATAGCTATCCACGAGGCATCCTTGAACTGATCCCGAGCCTTGCACATTTCCGGTGCCGGTTGCTTCCGAAGAAGCCGTCGGCGCTTCACAACTTGCTGAACATTTTCAAGCGCGGCACGATTACTCAAGTTGAGGTCCCCTTCACGCTTAAGGTCTGCCACTAGTAACTCAGACAGGTACAAAGGGACACTACAGTCAGAGACCATTGCTGCTGCTGCTTGCTCAGCCAGTCGGAGCTGCCATGTCGGGCTTCGTGGTGCAGACGTGTTGCTTGTTGCTTGGCTGGGATTGGAAAGGTGAGTCGGCTCCTTACGTGTGTCGATTGCCTCATGTACCACTCTGGAAGTTGTATAGATAAAGCTCTTCTTGTTCAGAAAATTGTTGCCGCGCATCTTTCCCAATCCCATCGCCTCCGAAGGACAGTGAACTGCGCACATGGTGCCGTGCATCACGTCCTGCAGTTCCGGAGAGGACTCTGCAAAGATATTTTGACCAGTGCACAGATGAAAATGACGCCCGTGTTCAATTTGATGCTCATACCGGTCGTACAATAGCTCTTTCGGCCAAAATACCTTTGAAGGATCCTGTCTCCCGCCATTCATCCAGAGGTGCTTGGGCTCGTACATATGTATCATGAACCAAATGCGACTGGCGTCCCATGTTTTAATGGATACTGCGCGGCCCTGGCGATTCCGAATGGCATTGCTGATTCCACTGTCCGCCAGAGTGATTTCCAGAACATCAAGCCGAGGAAGCTTGTAGTGCATCTTTTTCCGGAAGTCTTCAGTCTCACTATCAAGTTTCCCGAGCTTGTCTTCTATCTGTAAGATGCACGCATCAATCTTCTGACAAGTGGCTAAGGATTGCACGACACGATTGTCCTGTGATGCATTCACTCCTTCTCGTCCCAAGACGGATCCAACTGCTCCAGTTGCGCAAGCTCCCTTTGCAGTAGTGCCTTCCCAGTCATGATGTCGAGGCGATGCTCCGCGGTGAGGTCGGTGCTCATCGCGGGGTTGGGATCCTGGGCATTCGCCCTCTTGCCTCTGTGATTCTCGGCCGTCGATGCTGAGCTTCCGGTCGCTCTGCCTTCGTTGAGGCACAGCTTCCATTCCCCGAACTCTTCCTCGTCCTCGAAGGTCGCGGTGTTCCGGCTCCGATTTGGGAACGCCGCTTTCCGGGTGCCCTTCCCTTGGCGCTTCTGGTCCTCCATCTGCTCCGCCCGAGCTGCTGCCTTCAGACGGGCAAGGCAATAATTCTTGAATGAGATGGCCCAGCTGCTGGTGAGGGATTGCTTGCGTGCCATGGTCACCGCATACACCAAGTCCTCGTCGAACGCCGCTGCGAAGGTCTTGGTCTTGTGCTTCCCCGCGGTCAAGGTCATGTCGCCCCACGCGCGGAGTGTCTCCACACCCTTTGGGCGCACAAACTCCACATCGAGATAGCTTTCCAGACTGGGACGATCCAACGCAATGGCCCCGCTCTCGGGAGCCACCAACGGCTCGTCCACATCTGGGGTCGCCATCTTGCCCTGAAGCTTCAAAGCATCCTTGCGGGAGATCGGCATGACGATGATCCACCGAGGGCAAAGGTTTGGAGGCTGATGCGGTTCCGAGCTGAGCTGATTGCGGCTGTGATGGAGGTCTGCTGGGTGGGTGCATGCTCGGTTTGGTTGCTCCTCAGCTTGGAAGCATGCTGCTGTTGTAGTGCGTAATAAAGCAGAGAGATCAACAACAGACAGACCCCGGCTATCAAAACGCATAGGAACCCTTTTTCCCGGTAACTGAAGGAACCCTTTTCTAACATGAATCACCGCATCAAGCTCGCGAAGCAACTGATTAGAGATAAGCAATGGCGTGTTTCCTGGGATCACCTCAACTCGAATCCAGGACGACTCCGAGATTGGCAGAAGCAGAGCGTGTTTTGACTGAAGCGTGCCGCTGTTGCCGAATCTAAAGACAATGTCCGACGATGTCTTCCGGACACCGTTCCGGCACTCAGCGTCAAGCCCCCCGAGGATATCGCGTACCCGCTGGCTACCGACTACCGTGCGACTCGCCCCAGTATCCAAAACACCCTCAGCCCCTGAAGTAACCACCAATGCTACCTCATCACCATCGTCATCCTGGGGCTTGCTGCTTCTCAAAACTTCGGGGCCTGCCTCTTTGGTCAAAATTTGCGGAGTGAGTCTCTGCCTGGATGTTGCCGCGGTGCATCGTCTATGTTTCCTGGCAAGCATTAACAACTTTCGTGCAAGTTCCTCTTTCCATGTCTGGCTACAATCCCCTTTAGGCACAGCAGCCATTAGACAAGGAGAGTATAAAGTATGAATTCGCTCGACTCCCCTAAGCCCTGGTACACCGATCTGTCTGGCTTCCTGGCTGTCCTCTTCTCCAATGTAGGGCTCGGACTCCGGTGGCATGGCATGGAGAATCTCTGGGAGGTTCTGGGCAAAGGTGTCCGAGGTCTCTTGGGTAAAGTGGGTTACTTCCACCTTGGCTTCATTGCCATCCTGGGCCAATCGGCGGGGACATTCCCGCTTCCAATGTCCTTTCTGATGGCAAAGGCGGCAGGTGGAATTGGCGATACGGTCCGCGAGAGACCGATTGCGGCCAGTGCCCCACCCCGGAAACGAAGACGATGAAGACCCTTTTCCTTTCTACCCGAATCCCTTCGTCTTTCCACGGCCTTTGGCAGGCCAATATCCACGAGCTTTGGCTTTATCGCGGAGCCGCTGCCGAGCCTCCTGGTATGTTACATACACTGGCGCCAATTCGCTATCTTGGATGGCGTCCACGATGCTCTTTCCTCGAACTCGGTGATGTAGACGGCGTCCTCGTCGTTGAGGTCCATGAAGTAGCAGAGGAGGTCCTCGTCACTCGGCTCCTCCTCGGGCACGGCGCTGTAGTACACATCCTCGGCTCCGTTTTCCTCCGTGTAGTGCACGTCGTAGATCTTGTTCCGTTCCAAGCCTCGGTTTCCTGTGGCATTCTTGTTCTGAAGGTCCCCAAAAATTTTGGAACCCAATTAAAGGACCGGATAACCCCACATGTGAAGATCATCCATTCATATAGAATGCAGAAGAGTAAATGAGTGAGGGAGTAAATGAGTGTGTGAGTGAACGAATGAGTGAGTGCTGCTGTGAGTGCGTACGTGGGTGTAGGGTGTATGATGTGTGCATGTGTGGTGTGCGAGTGTAGAGAGAGAGAGAGAGAGAGAGAGAGAGAGAGAGAGAGAGAGAGAGAGAGAGAGAGAGAGAGAGAGAGAGAGAGAGAGTGTGTGTGTGTGTGTGTGTGTGAGAGTGTGTGTGTGTGTGGGTGTGTGAGTGTGAGTGTGTGAGTGTGTGAGTGTGTGTCTGGGTGTCTGTGTGTCTGTGTGTCTGTGTGTCTGTGTGTCTGGGTGTCTGGGTGTCTGCGTGTCTGTGTGTCTGTGTGTCTTTGTGTCTGTGTGTCTGTGTGTCTGTGTGTCTGTGTGTCTTTGTGTCTGTGTGTCTGCGTGTCTGCGTGTCTGCGTGTCTGCGTGTCTGCGAGTCTGCGTGTCTGTGTGTCTGTGTGGGTCTGTGTGGGTCTGTCTGTGTCTGTGTGTGTCTGTGTGTGTGTGTGTGTGTCTCTGTGTGTCTGTGTGTGTCCTGTGTGTGTGTCTGTGTGTGTGTCTCTGCGTGTCTGTGTGTGTCCTGTGTGTCTCTGTGTGTGTCCGGTGTGTGTGTCTGTATGCGTCTGTGTGTGTCGGTGTGTGTCGGTGTGTGTCGGTGTGTGTCTGTGTGTGTCGGTGTGTGTCTGTGTGTGTCTGTGCGTGTGTGTCTGTGTGTGTCTGTGTGTGTCTGTGTGTGTCTGTGTGTGTCTGTGTGTGTTTGTGTCTGTGTGTGTCGGTGTGTGTCTGTGTGTGTCTGTGTGTGTTTGTGTCTGTGTGTGTCGGTGTGTGTCGGTGTGTGTCGGTGTGTGTCGGTGTGTGTCTGTGTGTGTCGGTGTGTGTCTGTGTGTGTCTGTGTGTGTCTGTGTGTGTCTGTGTGTGTCTGTGTGTGTGTCTGTGTGTGTGTCTGTGTGTGTGTGTCTGTGTGTGTCTGTGTGTGTCTGTGTGTGTCTGCGCGCGCGGCCTTGGCCAGAGCAGGCCGGGGAGGGGATTTAGTCGCGGAAGAATCTCGCCCCCAGCGCGCGCGCGGCCTCCGCCAGAGCAGGCCGGGGAGGGGATTTAGTTGCGGAAGAGTCTCGCCCCCAGCGCGCGCGCGGCTTCCGCCAGAGCAGGCCGGGGACGGGATTTAGTCGCGGAAGAGTCTCGCCCCAGCGCGCGCGGCTTCCGCCAGAGCAGGCCGGGGAGGTGATTTAGTCGGGGAGGGGATTTAGTCGCGGAAGAGTCTCGCCCCCGCGCGCGCGGCCTCCGCCACAGCAGGCTGGGGAGGAGATTTAGTCGCGGAAGAGTCTCGCCCCCAGGGCGCGCGCGGCCTCCGCCAGAGCAGGCCGGGAGGGGATTTAGTCGCGGAAGAGTCTCGCCCCAGGGCGCGCGCGCCCTTGGCCAGAGCAGGCCAGGGTTCTTTAGTCGGCGCGCGGCCTTGGCCGGAGCAGGCCGGGAGGGTCTTTAGTCGGCCTTGGCCGGAGCAGGCACGGGAGGGTCTTTAGTCGCGGAAGAGTCTCGCCCCCAGCGCGCGCGCGGCCTTGGCGGGAGCAGGCCAGGAGGGTGTTTAGTTGCGGAAGAGTCTCGCCCCCAGCGCGCGCGCTTCCTTGGCCAGAGCAGGCCGGGAGGGTCTTTATAGTCGCGGAAGAGTCTCGCCCCCAGCGCGCGCGCGCGGCCTTGGCCAGAGCAGGCCGGGATCTTGCATGTACATGTGTGTGTACATGTGTGTGTGTCTGGGTGTCTGCATGGAGGAGGCGGAGGAGGAGGATGAGGAGAAGGCGGAGGAGGAGGAGGGGACAGCCCCAAAAAGTAAGAACCCCACACAATGATGTGGGGAACAATCTAATCGCCTTGACTGTCTCCTTGTACTTGAGGTCACCCTTGGACTCAATGACAACTCGCTTCTTGTCCTCCGGGGCAAGTTGGCTGTGGCGAAGTAACACGTAGGCTCTGATCTCCTCGATGGTCACCTTGCGCGTAAGAAGTTTTTCAAAGTAGGCGTCACTGCGAGCTAAGTAGGAATCATTGGTTTCGTCATTCTTCTGTGTCACCTGAAAAATGGCTTGCTCGAAGAAATGGAACTTTTCCTCAACAGCAGTTTTCCCCCAAGCTCCGCCGAGAGCCTCCACGATAAGCTGGACGCCCTCTTGACTCCGAAGCTTATCCGGAGCAATCCGGCTGATTTTCTGAAAAGCCGAACCCTCCACTTGGAGAGCCGCTCTCGGCCCCAGGTGCTGGATGCCATCGGCTGGCCACAACTCTTTGAGAAACTTCAAGCGCTGCGTGTAATCATCAAGGTTCGTAGTGCCCGGCACGAATTTCGGGATTTGTTGCCAAGGAAGATGGCTGACTCCTGCTGCCGAGCCGGCTGCAGTCGAACCTCCATCCCCTTCAACGGCCATGGCAACTGCTACGGGCTACCTACCTAGTTCCCCCTAGATAACGACAGGCCGGGCTCCGCTACCAATGTGAACTTGGTAGCCCGGTCCTGCCCCTAACGAACCCCAAGGACCCTAAAGACCTTGAAAAGCAAGCGCCAAGCCCCCGGCCTGGAATGTCTGAAGAGCGGCTCCGCCGTCTGAAATCTGAACCTGAATCGGAAACCCCGTCTCCTAGACTGTAGCCCCTTCCGCGGAACCCTGTTCCTTTTGACAGCTCAAGCGAACCTCTGCCCTCCCTCCTCTGTCGCTGTTGAGCCGGATGTCGGCCAGAATCTTCGACTGATGCACCTGTGGTTTTGCTGTTGGTTTAACAATGTTCATTATCATCCGTGTCATCTTCATCATCATCCGTCAACATCTCCTGACGTGCCTTGTGGTGTGGTGTTTTAGGGTTTTGGTCTGCTTGGGGTGCCCCTCCCCCCCTGTGGTGTCACTCCCCGCCCTGTGGCGTGGCGTGGTTCGGGGTTTGGGTCTGCTCGGGGTGCCTGCCCTCCGCCCCTGTGGTGTGGCGAGGTTCGGGTTTGGGTCTGCTTGCGCTGCGGTGTGGTGTAGTTCGGGCTCTGAGGAACGCGATCCTCGTGACAGTTGCATTTTTAATACCCTGACATCGGAGTCACGGGTGGAAAGTGTCCGCAGTCACAAGGATGGGGTGTGTCTGGGACGAGATCCTCGTGACAGTTGATGGTGTTGAAGCGGCTGGGACGAGATCCTCGTGACAGTTGACGGTTTTGGAGCCGCCATGTGGGAGAAGTGTGCGCAGTCACGAGGATCCGGTCACGGGGAGGGGGGATACCATGATTGTATTGTTGGTTGAAGCAGTACGTGTTTTGATTATTGAATAGTCTGAATAGTATAGTTTTCGTAGTTTATCTATTGTAGCAATGCCAGCCCACACATGTTTTGTAGCCTATTTGGGCACATTATCCCCGGTTGGCTACCAACCCGCACTGCCAGCCCGCACCTGTTTCGCAGCCTGCTTGGGCACAGTCCACAATCTTTGAGCGGGCTGTGGCTGCTGAATGGGGCGACACAGAACACACAGAGTGCGGGCTGGCACTCCAATGTACCCAAGATATGGGCTGCAGCCCGCAGCGGCCGTAATGCGCCCTGTGTGCCGGCAGCGGCCAAACAGGGTCCGGGCTGGCCCCCCACCGACCGCACAGTGTGCGGGCTAGCAGGGCATGATGCGCCCAAACACATGTGCGCGCTGGCAGCCCACAGCGGTCTTGTGATCGATTTTTTCGATCTTAGATGAGGTCTCTAATTTTAGTTGGGAAACGCCAGAACTGTAATTAGATGGCCTTGCAAATTTACTGTTACTGATGGAGCAAGGGCATCAAACTGAAGGCATGAGATTCCTATTGAGCAGATGCAGCTAACAGTAGCAGCGTTGCAGACAGATGTCGTTTGTTGCGCTGGTTGTTGTGCGAAAAGGTTCTTCAAAACGATCAATAGGATATGAGGGCCCAATCTACTGGGAGGTGTTTTTTCTGACCCGAATCAAGTAGGTCAACATTGGGTAGTATAGTTTTCATAGCTTAGTTGTTATAGAAATGCCAGCCCACACCCGTTTCGCAGCTTGTTTGGGTACATTATCCCCGTTTGGCTGCCAATCCGCACGGTCACCCAGCACGCGGTTTGGCGCGCAGAATGACCCTTTACATTAGGCACAGTATGGCTGCTGCGCACGCCATAGTGCGCCCAAACAGCGCGCCCAAGGCAAGCTGGCAGGCAACCCACAGTGTGGTTCGACGTTGTTGAGGTTTACTGCATGTCGGGGCTGATTGTGACTCGTGTTTGATGGCTGGTTCCAATGCATATTTTTGGAGTATCCATCCCTGACCTCCAATTCGGCACATGGCTGTGCTTGCTGCAACCTGGCAGCTTGGCAAGCCTCGTCGGGTGAGTTCACCCATCCCCACGCATTGCAGGCTGTCAGCCTGCATACTGTTTTGGCACATTATGGCCTGTGTGTTGCCAGCCCGCACCTGTTTCGCAGCCTGTTTGGGCACAGTATGGCTGCTGCGGGCTCCAGCCTACACAGCTGTTTGAGTTCATTTTGGTCGCTGTATATGCCCTGTTCGGGCATTATGGCCACTGGCAGCCTCGCAGCCCACAGCGGCAGCAGCTAACATGAACTTAAGCAGAAACGGATTGCGGGCTGCAGTCCGCAGCTGTCTTGCGCCTGCTGTGGGGGGCATGTGCCCTTGCCAAACAATGTGCAGGCTGGCAGCCCGCACTGACCAGAATTGCGCCCGCACGTTTGCCCAAACAGCTTCGGGCTGGCAAGCTTGGGCTGTGGCCAAGTGGGCTATGAAACGGGTGCTGGGTGCGGGCTTGCTAGGCCCACTCTCCCCCCAACTTCACCCCATGGTATCCACCCCCGCCCAAGCCAAGCTTCTCGTCCAGCTCACACGTCACCTGCGTCTCTGTCGACTTTCCCCGCGGTATGCCCCCCCCAAGCCAGGCCTCTCGCCTTAGCTAACGAAAGGGGAACCGCAAGGCAGGGAACCGCAGGGGCGGGGTGGGAAGGATAAAAAACAGCACAGGGAACCACAGGGCCCGTTCTTCTCCCCTTCGACACACAGATGACAATGATGGCGATGATGTTGTGTACAATGAAGTTGATGTGCTGTTCCCAGTGTGGCTGTTGGTGGCACCTCTGCTCTTATAATGCTCTGGGCTTCGGCACCGCGTGTTCATTGGGTCATTTAGTTGAATATCGTGCTTGGCTTGTGATGTTCTTCCGAAAAGTGTATCGACCGTTGTCATCGGTTGGGTTCGTTCAATTTAAGCTTGAGCACGTGTTTGAATGATTTTCATTCGGGACTCTTGTGCGCGGGACCGGAAGAGAGTGCGGATGGGGATCATGACCACCATCTTCGTCATCATCATCATCACAGTCATCACTATCATTGGCCTTGGAGCTCTAGGCAGGTCGGAATTCAGTGGAACTGTATCACATCCTAAGCTCCAAACCTTCAGCAACCGGACGCCCAACCAGCAATAGCCATGGAAGGGGGCGCAGCCGACCGCAACCACAGGGAGGGGCAGAGGGGAACCAACACGACAGGGAACCACAGACGGGGGGGGAGGGGGGGGATACCATGAGGGGTGGGGGCGGGGCGGGACCGCGGCGCGACGCGGCACCATAAAGGATCCTGGTTCTCGGTTCACCGACCCCCCCCCCCCCCCCGAGTCCCGAGTGGTATCGCCCCCGCACCCCCCACCACGCTCCCCAAGCCGAATCTGTGTGTGACTGTGCAAGCTTTTTCCACACGAGGGCTCACACGCCAAGCAGACCCACGCAAGAAAAACCACACCACACCATATCGGGGTAACCAGCCTAAGCAGACCCAATCCCGAACCACACCACACCACACCACAGGGAGGGGGAAGCAACCCACAACCACACCACACCACAGCGGGGGGAGGAGGAACCATTGGGGGGGGGAGGGGGGGGAGGGGGTGGAGAGTGGGGTGGGAGGGGGGTAGGGGGGGGGGGGGGCCGGCCGAACCGGGATCATATATTCGCCAACCCAACGTCGCATCGGCAGGGCTTTTGAACGTTGAGATTTGCGGCATGTGCTTGCAATTTGTTTTTTGTTGCTTCTGCTGCACTTGCTTTTTCCAACGCATACAGCAGAGTACGCATCCCTGACCTCTGATCCGGAACGCGGGGCTATTACACCAAGCTGCAACGAAGCAGCTAAGCAAGCCTCGTCGGCTGAGTTCGCCAATCCCCAAGCACCGGACATCCTGCGAGGAATCTCATCCTCTTGAACGGTTTTGAGACTCGCACCGACAAGGCGAGAACCGGATGAGCTTGCCAGCTTGCATAGTTCGGTTCAGTCGCATGAGCGGGGTGGAGAAAGAAGTGTCAAGACGGACTGCTCTTCCGAGCCAATGCAGACACACTATGCAGACACCGCAAGTGCGTAATGTAGTGTTAACCGTGTTCTCTCAAGTTTTGCCAACCTCTCCGCAGTTTATGCTCCGCTGTGTCAAGCCGCGAGGACGGACAGCAGCAGCACCGGTCGCTGGGGCCATTGGTCATGGTGTTGGTCTCGGACCTTGGCGCAGCCATGATGAAACTACAGACATCTACGGCTCTACGGACATCATTCGTGTCGCTGAGGTGCCAGGAAAATATATCCTGAAGCTGGAGTCCACAAAGGTGGCGTGTGAGGTGGAGCGCCGTCGTTGCACCGGTTGTGGCTTTTCGTGGCCATGTTTTTTGAGGACCTGCAGGGTTCTGGCCTGTTGCATACTCATGGACTGTCAAACAGAAGTTTTTTTCGACATACCACTTGTGACGAAGTCTACGGGTTCAACTCGTGTTTTTTTTTTCCAGGCCGCGGCTGCGGCTACCGCCAAGGAGCTGGATGCAGCGAAGTGAGGAAGAGCAAAAGCTTGGATGCAGTGGGTGGGGCAGAGATGTTGATCCGTTATGGTCATCAAGTCATCCATGCATAAGACTGTTGAAGAATTTGAGGCTCAAGGGGAGTGTGTTTGTGCTTACCTGCATGCTTGCTCGTTTGCAGTCTTATGGCTTTTAGTATCATGCTGTGACGTATTTCCGGATGCTCCGGCCCGAAATTCTGTGCTGTCAGACAGCGTGGCCCTCTCGTGGTCACGAAGTGTTGCTGAGCAGCAGACCTTGCCATTCGCGTCTGGAGCCCCCAAGCCCCGCACTTTTCCCGTTGCAACCAAAGATCGATCACTTGTGACTGTCTTGTTGCGACTGCGGCTCTAAAGCTTTAGCTGGATCTCCATCCCTCTCCCCGGGGCGCTGTGTGGCCCTTGGCGACCTGGGGTTCAATCACGCAGTTTCCACAGGTGGTTAAAACCCTGGGGACTCTTGAAGCTTAAAGCCAAGAAGCTTAAGGCGAAAAGCCAAAATGCCAAGAAGCCGAAGCCGAGGATTGAGCGCACTGTGAACAGGGTTCCAGTTTGATCGG